TGACTTTCGAGTTAGGTAAACAGTGTCGCCTCCAGAAAGTGAAACAAACTAATGGAACCCAACCCCCGATTGTATACAAAGAAACAAATAAACCTAACCACGTATCCAATTCACAGGGTGACGTCAGAGAGAAAACAAGTGATGCGAGTAACTTTGAATCCAGTGTTCTGTGCCTCAAATAGAAGGAGTAACTGTGAGTCCTTGAATCCCATATTCTGCGAGCCTAGAGCCCGCCCCCAGCGGGGGCGAGGGCTGCGGGCAACGACTTCAGACCGTGACCCTGCGGTCTGCGCCTCGTAGAAGAAATGCGTCCTGACAGGGACACTGCCGGGAATCAGAATGTAGAGAGGAGCGTGAGCACAGAGCGGAGGGCAGGACAGCAGGACAGGTGAATCCTGCGGTGTTGGATCTGAATCGAGGGACTGCTCTCCCTGAAGGTGTCTTCACACTGACTGTCCTAGCTGTGGTCACCGAAGGGGCCTCGATGCAGGTCACCCAGAGCCCCCGTCCTGATGGATGCACAGGAGCTCCGGCTAAAAGAGGCCGGGATTTCTCCAAGCAATGACTGAGTCCAAGGTCAGGTCAAAGGTCAGCCCAGAACACCATCAGGGGAAACAGCGAGGTGCCCGGAGACGGGAGGGTACACATGGAAAGGGTTCCAGAGCTGTTGTCTGCCAGTGGCTGGAGCCTGAACCACACCAGCACGCCGCCGAGGACCACAACACCCTGAGCCAAACCAAGGAAAATACCAAGAATTCGTGAGTTTACACAGAACCTAAAAATCACCATTTTCAACGCCCGGTGCAGTTACCGATGATAAAAATAATCTGTCAAGAGCCCAAGGGCGTTTGGCAATCGGCCCTCCTGTGGGCATAGTGACAAGCCCACGGCGTGAGCCCCTCACATCCTGCCACGCTGGGCGTACTTCTGCCCAACCGGTGTCCGCTGGGGGTCCGGGAGGTTCCAGAAACACCCAGCGTGGGGCACAGCCCGGGCTCCACCAAAGGGTTGAATAGAAAACAGGCAACAAATGAAATGGCAGGGACTGTTCTGGATCGAGACGTGGGAGACGCAGCCACTGAATGTCGTGCGTGAACTCGGATTGGACCCTGGAGTTTTTTTAAACTGTTGAACAGCCACGAACACCGAGCCGGGACGAATGGAGAAACGCGAACACGGCCCGTTCACACGACGCGTCCGTGTCCGATCTCTGATGCATGCTAACCCGCCGCGTGCGGAGGGGACGTTAATGCTCCTGGTGGGTATGTGTTCAAGTCTTTGGCAGTACACCTTACGACCGAACAGCCCAGGGAACCGGAGACAGAAATACGCCCGTGGCGGAGTGTTAACCACACAAAGGAGCACACCCGTTCCCCCAACTCTTCTTCTGACGTTTCTGCAAACTCGAGGTTTTTTACAACGGAAGCTCCAGGAGCACGGAGACCTCTGATGCTCTGGGACGCTGACGAGGAGAGGAACCTTGGGCCTCTGCCCCACGCCTTCCGTGAATGCCTAGTGCCCAGCGCACGCAGGGAGGGCGGTGGGCAGTGTGGGCAGCCCGTCGACAGTGCGCAGGTGCAGGGAGACTTCCAGAACCCCAGCGGAGCGACACATTGTGAAGACTCTGCCATCCGCTGTTAGCCAACCCTGGGAAAGGAGCTAATTTTAGAGGGGAACCCAGAGGTGAAACACCCCGTTCAGACGGACCTACACTGACTCCCAAAGCTCGCGCCAGCCTGGGGCTGTGAAGCCCCAATGTAGGAGACGGAGCACAGAGTAGCACAGAGGAGGGATGGACACAGGAAAGGAGGCCATGCAGACCAGGAAGAAACAGCCAGTGAGATGGGGTGGAGTGGGGTGGGGGGGCAGCATGTGTGGGGGAGGCCAGGGACACCAGGAAGAGGGTCCAACCATGCCAATAGCACTAAGACGTCAACCACACCAGGGATACACGGGAGTGATGACTGTGTGGGCTTATAAAAGACAAGTGTGCAGCCCTGCCGTCGCGAAGGCCCTGCATCCACTAGAAGGATGGCCGGGGGCACCCAGAGACACCCAGACACTGCTGTTCCCCACCACCACCACCACCAGCCCTGTCGCCTGCCCTACTGGTTCGGAGCCGGCTTCCAGCTCTTTGTCCCACCTGGTCTGCATGTCTCTCCCACACAGGCTGCCAGGATGCCCAGGAGAGCACAGCCTTCTCGCTCCCACCTCCCTGGGTGTTTCCCCCTGTTCGGTGCTTTCTAGGGAAGAGGCAAGCACAGGCATTTCTCAGGGGCACTTTCAGAAGACAGTAAAGGTTGTTTGACACCAAAGCAGGACCAAGAACTAAGAGACAAGAGATCAAAGGCTCCAACAGCAAGGGAGATGGGACAGATAACCACTCCCAGAACCCTCGCCGCTTAGGAGCCCGTGATCAACAGGGGTGCAGAGGACAGGGCAGGCTGAGAGGAAGAGCATGGAGGGCTCAGGCTGGCCATCAGGTCACCACCCATCGCTGGTTCAAGAAACCCAATCCCGAGCTGCTTCGACTGGGTCGGGAAGATGTCCCATCCCACAATGACCAACTTTACCCGCTCTTTTAGCTGGCCCCCCAACTGCCCAGAATCCCACAGAGCTGGCATGGCTGCAAATAGGGCCCCCTTCTTGCCTCCTCTGGTTACTGGGCGCCCGCCGTGGCGGCAAGAGAAGCTGAGAACTTTCCACATCTCGCACATTTGCGAAACTCACTGGCTTTAACAAACTGTTCCCTGAACACCTGGCCTGTACGTGCTCCGATACCCAGCCTGGGCTGTATCATGTTCGGAGACCTGACACGCTCTCCCCGCCTCGAGAAATGACCCAGCAGCTGTCAGAGAAGCTGAAGCCCATCTCAGCTCCGGCGAAACGCTCACGTCGCGGAAACACAAGCCTATTCGGTCAGACTTAATATGTTTTACAAAAGCCAGGTGAAGGACTCTATCTGGAAAAGCAGGAGAATCTTAGAAGCACTCTGAGAAGTAATTTTCTCCTGGGAGGAAAAAAAATGTGGAGCCATGGGTACGGCGGTGGAAAGGCAGCTGGATTTGGATGTCACAGAAGGGAACATTCACGTGACCTTGATCTCAGGCCCGGCTTTGCGCATGTCCTCAGGTGGGCTCCTTCCTGCCTTTCCTGCCCAGTCTTGGAGCCCACGGGCTTTGTCCTGGAGGGAATTGAGCTGAAAACCCACTAGGTTACAAGAGCCGCCAAAGGCCACAGAAGAGCTCACCACGGAACCTTCCTTAAGGACAGCCCGTCTGTACCACTGAGCCTAAGACATGAAGCACCCCATGCCTCCAGCGTAAGAGAAACTGTTCCCTCCTCCGGCAGCATCTGCCCCGTTGGACATGTGAAGGTGCAGGGCCGTGTGTGCGCCTCAGGAGAGCTCTGGCTCCTGCGTGTGAGAGCCCGGTAACAGACAGAAACGCTTCGCACAGAGCCCCAGTGTCCCAAATGGGCTCGAGGCTTGAAACCCTAAGCTGCAGTTTGGGAAATAAAAAAATAAAAAACAGGCACCATGTCTCTGCTAACAGGAGGGCTGACCGTCCTGGGCCTCCATGAACGAAAGAGAGAGAGAGAGAGGGAGTTTTCTGCGGGGTTTTCTGCGGGGAAAACCAAAGGACAGGACTTCAGCCCCAACGAGCAAACCTGCTGAGCTTCTGCTCACCCTCCTGGCAAGTTCCGCCATGTCCCCCCTCGTGCCCCAGAGAGTCCTGGCCCCCCAACACACAAGGACCACACATATGAGCCTGAGAAGACACACAGGCTCTGGCGTTTGGAGCTTGTTGTATGAGCTCAGGACCTATCAGCTCCTTAGAAAGCTAGAATTGTGCCTCAAGGCCATCCCAGTTGGGAGAAGGTCTTGAATAAGCTAATGGGTACATGTGGGGACTCTACAGGTGTTCTGCGAGAACCTAGCGCAAACAGCTGTGGCCATGACCCAGTGCTCCATGACGGGACCGCAGCGGAGCCCGGCATTCCTGGCCGTGGCTGTCCCTGGCCCGCCCATCAGTGCCCAGAGGGCGACTCCCAGTTCTCGCTCACGCAGCAGCAGGGGCGAGGGAAGACATACCAACAAATGTCCAAACATGACTGTCAACTTCCCGGGCGGTGACTGAGAAACAGAAGCAGATACAGGGTGGGGAAGGGATTTGGGCAGAGTTTCATGGGAAATGCAAGCAAAGATCTCCCGTCTGCAAGGCCCACGTCTCAGAACAGAAAAAACAAACCACGAGTGAAGCTAGACACATCGTTTTATGGACAAACAGTCAGCGGTACAGATGCAGTGACTTCCATAGATGCCCGCAGCAAATCCCCTAAAAAAACGTGAGTAAAAACTAGCTCTCTGCGCAAAGGGCCTTGTCCTCCCCTAAAAGCTTTAAGGTCCTGAGAGTGCACTCTTAGCCAATGCTCCTGGGGCCTCCCGGGCAGGATGGGGCGCCTCGGGACCAGGCGAACAGCCTTCCCGTCTCCCCAGAGAGCCAGGGTGACTTGAAGGTCATCTGTTGCCCAGGACCTGGGAGAGATCAGAGGGTTTCTTCCCAAGACATGGTCTTCCGTGTCGGGCTGCTGGCGGAGCGTCCCCCCGGCTTCCTGGCAGAGGCCCAGAGGGAGGAAGCTGCGCTAGTTTGGGACGGAGAGAGCTCTGTGTATCGTCATAAAACACACCTGGCGACCCGCGGAACGCCGTGAAGCCAACGTATCAGAGTCACCTGCGGGGAAGGGATCTCGCATTCCAGAACCCACAGGTGAGCCTTTTACTGGAAGGGAGATCATCACTTAGCACCAATCGCACTCTGGTAGCCCTCCCTCTTCTGGGGGGCCCGGGCCGTGCCCCACGCAGAGCACAGTGCCCATGTTGAACGGCACAGTGGGCCGACGGCTGCACGGCACAGGACAACGAGGCTCTCACCCAGACCACTGGGGTCGCCCCGCTGGGGAAGCGCGGGCGGCCCCTCAGTCTCCTCCCAGGGCCGGCCCTGGCCAGCCAGGCCCCACGGGCTTCATTCAAAGTGACGCAGGTGGTTGTACAGTGACTGGACGTAGGTGAAGACGCACATGGGGTCCGGCCTGTGGCCCATCACCATCATGTCCTCCACCTCAATGAGCCGCTCGCAGTTGGCCAGGTTCCTGAAACACAGAAACCCTGTCAGGGCAAGGGTCCCGGCCACCCGCCGGCCCCGCAGCCCCGCCGACAGAACGCCCCCCACCCCGCCCCGGGCCTTCCCATGACCCGGGAGACCCCGGGGTCACTCCCTCCAAGGTAGCACTGCCCAGACCCCACATCCAGGAACCACCGAGTCAATCCGCATTCTCACGTCACCAGACTGCCTTGTTGCGCACTTCGGTGAAATTAATGTTCCCTCGGAAGTTTCACTAAACGCACTTTTAAGTGTGAGTCCGAATTCTATTAGCAAAATTTTAGTTTAATTTAAAAACTAAGTTTTGCTAAAAAATTCAGCATATATGGGCAGGATGTGGAAAATCGGCACGAACTATAAAATTTAAACAAAGGAAGTAAAAAACAAATTCACCCAGACGGCTCCTAAGTGGTCTTTTTTTGTTTGTTTGTTTGTTTGTTTAAATTTATTTATTTGAGAGAGAGAGAGAGAGATCACAAGTAGGCAGGGAGGCAGGCAGAGAGAGAGGGGGAAGCAGGCTCCCCGCTGAGCAGAGAGCCCGATGCGGGGCTCGATCCCAGGACTCCGAGATCATGACCTGAGCTGAAGGCAGAGGCTTAAGCCACTGAGCCACCCAGGTGCCCCCTAAGTGGTCTTTTAACACTTGTCTGAGACTTGCGCTGGGAGACTCGGCCCATGCCCGCGAACATGCCCACGGTTTCACAAAGGTGCCCTCTGCTCCTGAGATTTCCCCCAGATGCTGGTTTCTCACCCTCCTCCACCCTACTTAACTCAGGCGTGAACTGCTCACCTCGTTTCACCACCTGCTGGCTGACGGGTCCCAAGGCCAAGGTCAGGAAGTTGCCTGCGACCCCCTCACGGCCCCCAGGCCCCCGGGCCACACGCCCTCAGGAACACTGGTCTAGCCTTGGGGCCCGGTGTAGAGGGGAAGCTGGGCGTTTTCTGGGCTGGAAAGAGAGGGGTCTCCCCGCTGTCCCCAGCCCCCAGGGCAGCACCCACAGTGACAGGGGTCAGCGCCAGTCTTCAGACTGTCAGTCCCTCCAACCGCTGCCCGTGCTGCCCAGGGCACGGGAATCTTGGCACCGACTGGGCTCAAACGCCCACACCTGGTGCTGTCAGCATCCGTCCCTCTGTGGTGGGGCGCAGTTCATGGTCCCAAGGTCCCCGCCTCCTCCCCCATGAACAAGTACATGACTGTCAGGGTTCACGACCTGGCCCCTTCTTTACTGACTTGGGGTAAGAAAGACACTTCCCTTCTCCCAGGCTCCGACCGCCCTGCACCAGGCAGCGGGGCTCTTTGTGCCCCCGAACAGCACGGTTAATTAACACCAGCGGTACTTGTCATTTTTGCCATGGCGCTCGATTTAAGGAGCACGCACGTGGACGGGACAGCTGGTCGGAATTTGGACTCTGAGCAGCTGGGTTTGGAGGCTGGCTCTGCGACTCATGCCCCCATCCCATGCTGGTACCCCGGGGCCAGCGGGCCAGTGCTGGTGCCTCCCATGGCCTTTCCCTGGCCCCACGCCCGGGACTGGGACACAAGCTCGGGGCCCCGCCCTGTGTGCTGGCCAGACACCAGGCCTCCTCTCAGAACTCAAAGGTCAGAGTGAAACACAGACATCTGTCCCAGGGCCCACTGCCACCATCCCCTTGGATTGGAGTGGGTCCCTGTGAGGGAACCCAGTGGCTTCATGAGGTGAGGGGGGGCTTGGTCCCGGGCAGGGCTCCGTGGTGTCCCTGGCGGGCCAGGTCGGGGCTCCGTGTCGGTGAAGCGTGAGCTCTGACCAAGGGCAGGCCTGTGGGGAAGGGTTTGCTTCGCTGGTGGGGAAGGGTTGCGAACCCAAGGCCTTCCCACTTCGGCACGTCTGCCGGGCTGTCCCCTAGACACGGGGTCCGCGGCCGCCAAGTTAGATGAGAGCCATCTTAAAATCCTTACTGTCAGCCTGGGAAGAGAATGGAGTGCTAGCCCCCGAGCACTGGGGACAGGACAGCAGCTCTCTCCGCGGTGGCCCTACTTGGCTGGCCCTCTCTGCCCCAAGGCCAGGAAAGTTCCCCTCACACGTAGGCCTTTTCGCCTCTGTGACCTTCCTACCTATCTGCCCCATGCGCGCATTCTCAGCCTGACTTTTTCCCACATCTCCTGCCAGAAGAGAACCTTCTGAGAACCTCCCTATCGTGTCTTTCTCCAAGACTAAACAGCTCGAAGGACACTGGGGACCATGTCTGCGTTGCTTCTAGCGTCCTCCCTGCCTTATCGGAGGGTGCCCAGAATGGCTGGCATGTTCCAGCCGAGCAGGGAGAGAGTGCGGACCCCCGTCTGCACTCCCGAGGCTCCCACCACGGGCACCCCTGCCCGGACAGCAGGGCTTCCCCATCAGGGTGGCACTGAGGACGGGGATGAAGGCCTCCCCGGCCTTCAACGGGAAGCTGTGGGCAAGGTCCTGGCTCCCCTGCCAACTGCCAGGGTCCCGGTCCCCACCCCAACAGCCGCAACAGTCACGTCGAGTCTCCAAGGAGCTGCAGACACAGGCTGAATGAAATTTCGGAATCAGAATATGGTAAGAGGAAATGATGATTGGTACTGACTTTTACAAAAATACATGAGTCTCAAAATACTCGAGGCCCCCGTGGCTCTTTCTGAAAAGCTGAGGCCCAATGGACACATCCATAAACCACTCTTGTAAAAGGCGACACCAGCTCGTTGAAAGAACTCAGACGCTACGGACGTGTCCAAAGGACGAAGGACGACCATTTTCTAATGAGTTCCCGAGGCCACACCCTGCCTGGGGTTGGGTTCCGACTCTGCCAGTCCGGCTCTACCCGGATCCTCCATCAGCACGGGCTGGCCCGGGAGGGACGTGGAGGAGGGGCGCAGGGTTATTTTTACTTAAGGCTTCTCTAGATGCAGATGCCCAGCGCGGGCGACCGCCTCCAGGCTGGCTTCGCACACACAGTAACCGGAGAGCAGGACACATTCCCCACAGGGCACGTGGGAGCCACGGGCCATACACCCGGCCCTGGGCCTGCCCTGGTCCACGGCTGGGGGTGGGGTTGGGGTGCAGAGGGCCCCCCCCACTGAGCACCCACCCACCGCAGCCGCCTCCGAAAAAGGGCTGGCGTTCCCGCCTTCCAAGCCCCGGAGGCCTGTCCAGCAAGGGAGCTCCAGCAGCTGTCAACACGGAATTGCTGGCACATGAGGCCACAGGAGTCTCTGGGCTGGAGGTCTCTTACTGGGACGAGGGGCAGCACCAACCCTGGCCCCACACAGGTTCCCGAGCCTCCGCTGTGCCTCTCTGGCCCTTGCTCGCAGAAGGGTCTGGAAACACTCCCTGACGGGAGGTGCCCCTGCGTCCAAGGAGCCCGTGTATCCTCCATCGCACCCTGCCCGCTCCTGGCCAGCCTGCTGTCCACAGAACCAGGTGACCCAAACTGCACCTGTGAGGTCACCTCCCGCAGGACCCCCAGCAGAGACCCCTTCCCTGGCCCTGAACAAGCTCCACCCCCACCCCCCAAGGCCGCAGAAGAGCCCAACAAGCCCCCCCACCGGCCACCGAGAGCTCAAGGCCACAGGCCGACCATCCTCCCCTCCCCCGTCACAAGCAGGCTCAGGCCACAGGGAGGCAAGGCCAGGCTGCGGCCCCTCCGCTCGCTCTGGGGAGGAGGAGAGAAGAACCCGGAGCGGCTGGCATGTCACCCCCAGGCTGGGAGTAGAGGAAACGTGTGTCCAAGTCTAGAGGCTCCAGGAGCCCACGCCTCCTGCGGGGAGAACGCAGCCTTGCTCTGGCTCTGGCCGAGGGGTTTGAGGTACCCGTGGCCCAGGCCCCTCTCCCGTGGCCCAGGGCCCCTCTCCCCGCTCCGCCCAGCCTCGCCCAGGGCACGGCCCCCTGGTCTTGATGAAAGAGAACCCCGGGGGCCTCATGCGCCACACACACTCCGAGTCTGCACTTTGAGGGCCACCATTCCTGGGCTCCCACCAGTGAGGCGCCCTCCCCAACACCGGCCATCCCCCTTGGCTCTGCTTCCCCTCCGTCTGGGTCCGGTTGCATAACAGCCTCCCTCCGGAGCTGCTTCTGTGATTAGGGTGACAGCTGCGTCAAACAGCCAAGAAAGGGAAGGCACTTGAAGGATATACGGAGTTCCTGGGACCCCCGAGTCCAAGCGTGTCACCCGAGACCACACTACAGGGCAGTACCAACATTCCGACAGCTCCGCCACGAAGCTGGGAGCTGCCGCCTCCATCATGCCCCCCGAGCAGGAGCTGCCGCCCTGGAGGGCTCCGGACCCCTCAGCTCTGGCAGGACCCATAAAACCATCCCTGGCCAGGTCCAGGGTCCAGGCCTGGCGTGAAGCCTGCCCCTGCTCAGGGAGCTGGGTGGGGACACGCAGGCTGCTGGGGGCTGATGTCAGCAGGCACAGAGGCTGCCCTAGGAGAGAGAAACGTTCCCTCCAGGAAACTTGGCTTTGGCGGGGGGGGGGGTGCTTCTTTCCCTCTGACCTTCTGCCCCTTAATTCCTGGAAACTGAACATCCGGCAGCCCTAAACATCCTCCACTGTGCCCCGTCCCCAGGCTGCCCCGCCCTCTGCCCCCTGATAGTGTCCAGCCAAAGGAGGCCCCAATGTGAGGACAGAGCCCTTTCCCCCAGCCCCTGCCCACCGGCCACTGGGAGCTGGTACATCTACTACGCTGTCCCTGCAGCCACTCTCCGGCCCCCCGAGAACACAGGCAGACCAGCCCCAGGGAATTGCCTGCACCCCCACTGGAGCCCTGATGCCCCATGTGCTGCCTCGAGCCAACCACCAAATCCCAGACGGGACATCCCAGACGGGACATCCCAGACTCTGCCCCACTCAGCCTCCTTGAAGAGAGTGGGTCTCAGGGAAGTAGACGATTTCTTATCAGATGCCAGGACAGCATTTAGAGAAGCTCGATCGACTTCTCAGAGAAGCTCTTAAGATGTCTCCCAGGCAGACCTTCGATCTCCTGCTTGCCCCAAAGCAACGGAATCTCCCCACCCGCCCCGAGAGAACAGGTGGGGTGCCCTGGGAGACCCCACCCCACAGCCCCCAGACCACACAGCAGGGCCAGGCACCCAGCAGGAAGGGCAGGTGCGGCAAGCCGAGAGCCAGCTCCACAGCGAGTCTGGGCGACCCCCCAGAATGGCGTCTCCCGGGCGGTGCAGGAGGTGAGCAGAGTGGAGGGCCTCGCGCCCAGCCTGCCTACAGCACCCCTACCCCGGGGCCGGTGCCCGCTCGGGACCCGCCATGCTCACTCAGCCATGGTGAAGGCCAGCTCAAAGTTCTTCTGCCGCTGCGCGGGGCTCAGGGCACTGTAGTCGAAGGCGTCAGGGAAGAAGGAGTGCACCAGGGCGCAGAAGGCCATCCCGTCGCTCCAGCTGGAGGAGAAGTTCTGCAGGTCCACGTGCTTCCAGGCGGCCAGGGGTCAACGAGGGGAGGTGAGCAGGGGCACGGCTCCCCCACAGGCAGCCCCTCCCAGCGCCCACCAGGTCAGCAAGAAGTCACAGCCACCAGACCCCAGCTGGTCAGGTGCACGGGTCCAGCCTCAGGAGCCCCAGGGTTTCTGAGCACGTGCTGTGGGCGGCCAGCAACCCCCGGGGAAGGCCAGGACTCCAGCCCACCCCTGTGTTCCGGCCCCAGAGGCACCCTGGCCCCTGGGGAAGCTGGGACTCCAGCCCAGTCCCACGCCCCGGCCCCTGAGGGGACCCCGGGCTGGGGCGGAACCCGGCTCACCTGGTAGCCAAGCGTCTTCTTACGACACCACTCCAGCAGGAGCTGCTTGATGCTGCTGGCGCTGGCCACTCCGAAGCTCTGGGACCGCTTCAACTTGGCCCGCGCCTCCCCTTTGCCCCTGTGCGAAGGGTGCAGCCTGAAGGGGGGCCGTCCTCCTCCTCCCCCCAGGCCCGGGGCTCCCCGGTGATCCCATGCCCCCAGGAGCATACCCCCGCCGGCTCTGCTCCCCCAGGGAAAACCTCCCTTGACAATGTCTGGTCCGTCCTCCCTCCAGCCCCCAAGTTCCTGTCTATATCCCAGCCTGGAAATCAGGGCTCCCGAGCCTTCGAGGCCTGAGGCCGCTGCCTGCAGCTCCCCCTTCCCTTCATCCCAGCCACCCTGAGGCCACGCTCACTGACAGGGTTCCTTCCTAGCCAGAGAGGGGGTCCTCATCTGTACCCCAAGAACACTCCCTAGCAGCTGAGATCAGGCTGTCTGCCTCAGCCTCCCTCCCTGGTGGGAGGCCGTCAGGACAGGAGGGGGCCGTCCTCACACACAGGGCTGGCCTCACCCTGCACACGGCAGGTGTCAGGCTGACTGCTGGATACCTATGCAAACACCAGCTCTGTCTCTGCGAGGGATAGGGTGCCCCCCACCACTCCCCTGGGAATCCCCGTCGTGCCCAGAAAACAAGGGAGGGTGACAGAGGGCCGCCTGGGGCACCCCCAGAATGGGCAGGAAAGGGGCTCTCATCACGGGAACAGGGCCGGGCCCCACTCTGGGTGAGGTGTCCATACTTGCCCGCGGTGTCCTGCTCCCACTTCTCAAACAAGGCCTTCCGGGCCTGCGCCCCCGATGTGCGGGGCAGCGTCTGTGACCTCACCAGCTCCCGGCGCCGGGCCTGGGTCGTGGCTGGCGGTGGGGGGGATGGGGGCGACCGGGGTGGCGTTGCCAGGGTTGGGCTGAGGAGAGAACCACGTGTCAGGAACACCAGGCCCCCACGGGCTCAGCCCCCCCCCCCTCCGCAGAGTGACAAAGGCAGGGGAAGCGGCAGGGACAGAGGAAGCCCCGCAGGCTCCAGGCCCACCCTGCTGAGCCGGTTTGGGATCCAGCCTCTGTCCAAGCCGCACACCCGAGAGAGCAGCCCCCTCAGCAGGTGCCAGGTCCTGGGGTGGGCAGGGCGGGGTAACCCAGACCAGCCCCACGGGGCCCAGCCTGTCCACCACTAGATAAGACCCTCTTTGTTTCCTCCTCAACCGTTTGCCAGAAAGTCACAATTTCCCTTTATGATTACAAGAAAAGCTGAGCCCCACTGCCCCCATCCAAGCTCCAGCATCAGTCCAGCTGGCCTGGGGGAGCCAGGAGGAGGCCTGCACCCAGGGAGGCCCCACACACCTGCCCCAGCCCAGGGGCCTCTCCAGGTGCCTCCTCCATCCCGTGCAGGTGGCGGGAAGCACCCAGCGGAGGGAGCCCGGCCAGCTGGGGTGAAGACCGCCTCCCTCCCTCCATGCTCTGTGGGCCTGAGATGACCCTCCCAGCCTCGCCAGGTCCTGATCTGAGGCGTCCATGTAGAAACAGCTGCAGCCACGTTTCTCCAAGCAAGACTGTGCAGGGGGAGAGCGCCTCACCTCCCCTGCTGCCCTGGCTCTGGACCCTGGCTTGCCTTGGGGGGGGACAAGACCCCGCTGTGGCCATCCCGACCCACCTGTCACCATCCCTGCCTGCCAGCGCTGCCCCATAGCCGGCACCGGACCGCGGGACACAAGGGCTCTTCTCTGCGGGATGAGGAGAGAAGACAAGTAGGCCTGGGTGCGGGGAGGGCCCACCGCTGGCCCCTCCCGGCCCCAGCATCACTCCCCGGACAGGCAGGTGCCCCAGGCTCCAGGCCCCATCTCGGCCAGCAGTTGAGGGACAGGAAGCTGGGAACGTAGAGCAAGGACACAAAAGGGCTGGTACGGGTCCCCACCCTGCGTTTGAGGGCCCAGGCCTCCCAGGCCGCTGCATCTCCAGCAGACACTTCATTCCCAAACCCTCATTCTGGAAGCCCTGCCCCGGGACCACCACCGACAGCCTGACCACAGGCCAGACCCGGGGAAGCATGCCAGACTGTTCAGGGGTGCAAACCACCTTCTCCCCGCAGCTCGACCTGACGACAGCCACGGGGCGTGCCTCAGTCAGACAGGGATGGGCTGCGTGGAAGGGGCAAGGGAAGGGGGTCGTGGTGGGGGCTGGGGTGGGGCTGCAGTGCCGCCCCAGCTTTTCTGGGTCTCTTGCCAAGCACCCGCCTCTGCGCCCTGCCCGCCCTCCACCTTGGGGTGGGGTCTGCCCCCAGGCCCTGCTCTCCTGCTCCTACCGCTGGGACCGGGAGTCCAGGCTGTGGTGGGCTCACTGGGGCTCAGGCTGGGCCCCCCCACGACGGCGGCAGACGTGGGAGAGAGAGCTGTGGCCGAGGTATCCCCCGAGAACCTCTCCGAGACCCGCGTGACAGCTGTGACGGGCTGGTGGGGCAGCCGCAAGGAGAGGCTCACAGGACGCGGCTTCGGAGGCTGTGGTTCCGGGAAGGTTTGGGCAGTCTCCGGGGGTCCATCACCCAGACCTGGAACACGTGACCACGGGGGCTAGGGGGGCAGGTCAGCCGGGCATCCAAGCCGACTCAGACGCCCCAGGAGGACTCTAGCCTGCCTGCACCTCCCCTCTCACCTCCTCCAGGAAGGCCTCCCCGACCTCCCTCTTCTGCAGACACCTCAAAGCTCCAACCAGACTTTATGTCTGTTCCAAACCGCCCTCAGAGTCAGCTCAGTAAGCACGAGCAGCCTGTCAGCCACTGTGCTGCCCGTTGTTTGGACGAGCACTCAGCCCCAGCCGCGCTCCTCGGAAACAGGGAGCTCGTCACCTCCCGAGAGCGCCCGTTTCCCTCTGTGTTTAGAAAGCTCTGCTTCGCCCTGAGTGAAGCCGCCCCCTCACAGTCTTTCTAGCTGCTGGGATCCAGGTTCAGGTCCCCTCCCAGCCAAGCGCTGGCCGGGCACAGAGGCAACCCGCGGCCCCCCGTCCTGTGCGGTCGGCCCCTACCTGCCCCTGGCTGGTGCCCATTCTCAACGACATACGCGTCCAAGGCTCTCCGCGCCTCTGGTTCACCAGCTTCGTCCTGGTGGTCCAGGCTCTGCAGAGACACACACCCGAGGAGGCCCCATCAGGCAGGGCCCGCTGCACCCCCGCAGACCACCGTCTAAAGGCCCCCCTCATTCTGGAGCCAAATAACCCACACGTTTGAGAGGCAGCCCCCAGAAGATACCGCAGCGGGCCCGGGTCCCACGGCAGGCTGGAGCGCACCCAGCCCCCGCCGCGGAGCCCCTGGGGTCCAGCCAGGCAGACATACCCAGAGTGCCAGGGACAAAAGGTGAGGAGCCAGGTACAAGGTGGCCCGGCCTTCTCCAGACCGCTCCCCGGGCCCCGAGAGCCGGCACCCCAGGCCAGGCAGGCCCATTCGTGCTAGCGAGGCCTGCCAGCCAAGGGCTGCCAAAACCAGCAGCACAAGGTCCTCTGGGCCAACGTCGGGCACGGGGCACCGAGGACTTTCGTTAGACCCAGAGCTATGACATGTGCCCGGGTGCCCGGAGCGGGGGGCCTGCCTGGTTCCTTGGGGCCCCTTCTTCCCTCCGCACAGCAGCAGAGCTGACCCCAAGAGCCCCCGGGGGCCTGGTGTCCCAGCCATGCCACCGACTGCCATGCTGCTCGACTCAGGTCAGCCCCTCCGGGTCTCCGTTTCCCTGCTGGAGGTGGAGGCAGCTCCACGCGTCCCCTCTGAGCGTCCCACAGGCATCAGGACCTTTTTCTGGGCCTGGTGCTTAAACTAACATGCTTCTGCCTCCCACAGGCTTGCTAGCCTGCTCGACAGAACCCAGGGGCTCAGAGAAGGGGCCGTCAGAGAAGGGGATCCAGGCCGACCACTACCAGGCCTCTCCTCAGGGGCCACAATGGGCACCTGGAGAGGTTGACTGTCCCCTTCCCCGACACTTCCAGGCTGTCTCATGATCTGCAAGGTTCCCAGACGACTAACAAAGCCCATCTCAGGCCCTGGACAGCTCAGCTGCTCCCACAACCAGGGCTAGTGGCGGCCACTCTGTCAGTCGGGGTCGGACTGGTTGGGGAGCCAGGACCTTGAGCACACACCACCAAGCCAGCCTGACAGTCATGCCTCCGGCAAACTTCCTCCAGCCCAGTGGGCCCGGGAGGCCTTCCCAAGCCAAGTCTAGAGTAAGCCCAGCGGACGAGGAGGGGAGGCCATTCCCAGCGGAGCAACTCATGTCTGCAGAAACAGGCTTCCAGGCGCAGAGCACTCCGATCCAGCGGCAGGAGACACACCGCACAGCCCTGGTGCTGGCCTAGAGGGAGGGGACACAGGCCCCAGCTGCAAAGGCAGGACCAGAGCTCTGGGAGGAGGGAGAGGAGGAGGATGGGGAGGGACAAGGCCTCTTCAGAGCTTGGGCTTTGGATCCTAGAGGAGAGTGTCCAGGAAGAAGAGGGGAGTGTCGGTGGGAACGCAAGGATCTGGGTCTGGGATACACAGAGTGTAAGGTGAGCCTGGGGCAGCTGGGACACGAGGTCAGGAGACAGCTTGGTGTCTGCGCCCGCAGCTGAAGAGGATGGACGGAGGACCGGGGGTAACAGGAGTCCTGCCTCCCGAGCACAGCGGAGGAACAGACGGCCCTGGGATGCATGGGGCCTGGGGTGGGGAGAAGCGGCATCTCAGAGGGGAGTAGCCAGACAGACTGGGGGAGGTGGGAGCATGGGCACCAAGGAGGCAGGTGTGCCACAGCACCCATGGGTGGCCTGGGGTCAAGGAGAAGGTGGCGATGAGCTCTAGACCCTTCCTGCTGGGTTCACGGAAGAAGAGCTCGCTGGTGAGCTCAGGGACTGAATTGGGTTGGTGGGGGGAGAAGCCGGTGGAAACGCTGGTTGTGCTGGGAGACAGGGCAGTTACAGGGGCTCTTCCAGATGGACGCGGTGGGACAGGGGACCCTCTGCAGGTGCAGTCCCGCAGAAGTGAGAAAGGCCAGAATTCGGGTGACCCCTGACCAACTCAGGAGGGCGGGGAAGGGGCCAGGCCCCCTCGCAGGTGCAGTGCAAAGGGGGGGGCACTTGGGAGCCCCCGCAGAGGCACCTGTGGGCTGAGCACCTGAGCAGGGGGAGGAGAAACAACCCGTCCCCCCTAAACCCCAGCCCCCACCTGTCAGCAGGGCCAACTCCGCTCCGGGGTCTCCGTGTCCCCCCACCCACCCTACTCTGGTCCAACCGGTGCCACAGGTCCAGGTAGGAGCCTGGAGGGACAGGCTGATGGTGAAACCATTTCTTAGGAATGTGGATCTTTATGGGGGGGCCCCCAGACGCCTGCCCCTGCACGTCGCAGGTCCCCCACCCTGGGAAGCCCCAAGGAACCAGCCGCCACAACCAGACAGGAAACGAGCTCTGGACCAGCCAGATTCCCATCAAGGGGTCTCAGCCACACTGCAGCCAGGGTGGGGGCCGAACCCAGACCCCCCGGGGCCCCAGCCCCTCCCTCGAGGAGAGGGCTGTGCTCTGCCCGTGTCCCAGGCCAACGGACTCCTCGGAGCCCACCCTCCACCCCGTCACCACACGACCCAGAAGCCTAAATCCCCGTCCTACTATAGGCAGCAGCGGAACCAAGGTTTGGGACCCAGGTCTCCCAACCCAACCCAAGACTGGCCACAAGTGCTCCAGCCTTCCAGAAAACAGAGGACAACTCAGCACGAACTTGTCCCCGGAGCCTAGGGCAAGACGGACCCCTGGCCCCCTTAGTCCAATTAGGGAGAGGAAACGGGGTAATGATGGAGTAAGCACACCAGCAGGACCTCTGTGCACAGAGCCCTCAAACCAAGGAGGGGCTCGAGCGAGCCCTTGCCGGGGTCCCCAAGCACACCCTGGGGCCTCCAGCTGGCTCTCCCAGCATCAGGGTCAGCCTGCCTCAGACCCATGGGGAGCCCTGGGGATAGGAACTCGTCCTGCGGAGTTCCCCACCTGGGCTCTGTGTGACGGGGACGGAGGCCCCTGTCCGGGAGTCCAGGGCTCAGGACATTCATGGGGGCAGGGCCACAGGGCAAGCGATTTCAGGGTCTCTGGGGACAGTCCTCTCCCTGGGAAGTTTGGAAACACTTTTAGGAGGGCGGGCACATTTCGGGTGTTCTCCTTTCTGCCTGACCCTCCACACCCTTAACCCGCAGGCAGCCCCGGAGTGACCAGCACCCCCCCCCAGGACTGCTGCTTCCCCCCACCTCCCCTACACGAGGTTCTCAAGACTCAGTCCCATCGCGGGCCTCCCGAGAGCGGCGACCTCTGCTATCACACAGTGCGTCTGGGAGAGGAAGGCAGATAAGGGAGTCTGGTTTCTCTCGCAGGCGGGCCTGGACCGGAGCTCCTGGCAGCTGTCCCTGAGGGCCTCCCCCGCCGCCACCACGAGAGAACGCCATGGCTCCGGCTTGGCCCCGGACCCTTCCAGAGAACAACTCCGGCCTGGCCTCAGGCGGCTGCCGTCCACCGCAGGCCCCTGCTGGCGGATGTCACTGTTGAAGAACCCAGTCCACCCAGCACAAGGGGCCCACCCAACCTGCCCAGCCCCATCCCCCTTGATTTAGATACAGAAAAAGTGCGGTCCGCCTCTGAAGAGACGCTCTGAGGCCTCAGAGTGGATGTGACCAAAGTAGCTCCCATCTGCTCCAGGGACTGGGGCCTCCTATGGGAAGTCCACCCTGGTTGCTCCCACGTGTGTCTGCCCTCTCCCTTCTCTCAGACCTTCCCTGGCTACAGCTCTGTCCTCTCACTACCTAGCAAGGCCAAGGTGTGTGCACTGGGAAGTGGATTAACCCACTCTTCCCCCATTAGGCTCAGGGTCCATTTCTACACTAAGTAGGACCCACCTCCCACACCTACAAATCCCCAGTTTGAAACAGCAGAAAGCAAAAGGCTCTCTAAATCTGGCTGATTACAGAGGGGTGGGGTAACCCCAGCCTGCACGACGCCCAACCCACCACAGCCATAACGGGACCCTACCCCCTTGACACAGACACGGGGTGTGAGAGACAAGGGGCAGCCCCGTGCCCAGCCTGAAGCTGACTCCCCATGCAGGACGGGGCACCCTGTGTGGGCCCGAGAGGCTCGTCCCCCCACGTGAGTGCACGTGAACGTGCACGTGGCTCCGCACAGCCCCTTTCGCTGCCAGGAACGGGTCCGCGCTCGTGAACAGTGGGGACCAGCGCTTCTGAAGCCAGGCAAAGGGGAGCTGCGCCCCCAGATGGGACCCCCCGTCCTCCACCCAGGTATCAGTGATGTTCGTCTTTCTGAGGCCCGCAACCCCCGTTCCAGCTGGGTGTCCGTCCCCATCCCTGAAGAGCCACAGCGGCCCTGCTGGCCCGTGACCCCAGCCTTGAGATTTCGGGGGCCCTGGCATCTCCTGCACGTCACCCAGGGCTCCTGCCTCACTTTCTCCTTCTGCCCTGCAGCCCTCCCCCGCTGCCACCTTCAATGGCCAGCTCTGGCCTGGTGTCTCCCTGATGTCCACCCTCGACTGCCCTTGGCACCCCAGATCCGTGACTCCACCTGCTCTGGGACAGCGTCCCCTCGATGTCCCGCAGACCCGCCCACGCAGCATGACCCCACCAGAGCTGTGACCCAGCAGATCCCCGGCAGGCTCCTGTCTGTGCCCAAACGCCACCTCACCACGCGGACTGTCTTCTCTCCTGGGGCTGTCCCACCTTACCCCACCCTGTCTCCAGCCGCCCTCCACACTGCCATCCGTCCTTGCGGGAGCTTGCAGATGGCTAGTGGGAAGACCCTGTCTCTCTCTGCCCAGCACCCCTCACCCACCACCCCCATATCCAAGAGGACCAGCTCACCTCTGGCCGATTCCCACCGAGGCAGATGACCAGAGAGCCCCCCGACACGTGTGTGAGCAAGCACGTGCAAATACATGCTCATCTATGTATGACGCAGACGTTATTTTTCTGAAACCTTGGGCAGCTGCTTCCATGAGTGTGTGTCAGAATACAACTTCAAAAACAGCCGATGACACAGTTTATTAGGCACGTGCGAGCTCACAGTGGTGACTGTATGCCATGGATGTGTTGTGTTTTGTGCTCACAGGACAGAATTAACTGTATCTGTACTTGCAGACACTTTGCACAGAGCACTGGCCCGCCTGGGGGCTCTGCCACCCCCGAAGGTTGAGGAAGGTCTCGCCCCCAGGGACAAAGCCTGGTTCCCTTAGCCAGCACCCAGAGGTCCCTCACAATTCACCCTCCCCCTCTCACCCCCATCAGGCTCCCCTCTGGCCAGGCAGTGCCTTTGGGTTTGCCGAGCCTGCGTGCACCGCCCCATCCCACCTCCACCTGCCCGAGCAGCAGCAATCCCTGGGCCTCTGTCGGGCACACAGGCACGTGGCTCTGGCCGCCCATACACAGTTGGCACTGCACCATCTGGGTCCATCTCCCACCCAGCTGGGACCTCCTGGGGCAAGCGCTGAGCTGATCCCCCTCCGCCTGGCCCCCCGAGGGGCAGCCCAGCCCACACAGGAGATTGACTGCATGAGGGATTGAGCCAAGGAGGGGCAGCAGGTGCAAAGGGCTCAGACCCAGACCCTGGAAACCCAACCCCAGAGAACATGCCTGAGCAGAGTGGAAAATCCCACATAAGGGCCACTGCACACAGCATGGAAACATTCTAACCTGCCTCTCCTGGAGGCCCCGTGCTCAGGGAAGTAACTGGTCCACACCGGCCTCTATCACCGCACCCCCCCACCACGAACTCCCTGCTGGTCTCTGACCCCAGGAAGCTAGAGACTGCTCAAGGCTGGTTTCCCCAGATCCCTTAACCCCCTACCAGTTCCCAAATGAGGTGGCCACAGCCACATTGTGTCCTCCTGGCCTCCGGCTCACACACACAAGGCGCCTGAGTTCTCAGTCTGGGTTAATTAATAACGTCAGCCGTCAGGCCTCAGTGAGCGGCAACGCGGGGGGCCGTGAATGGAGGTGGGGGTTGCTGACCATTGGGACACAACGGAGGCGAGCAGGCGATGTGGAAATGGTCGGGGGCCCTAACTCAGCGCCTAAGCCCTTAGCGTCACGGGACAAAGGGGAGAGGGAGACCGAACTCTGGGCAAACCAGGGCCTGGTTCCAAAGAAAGGAGGGGGCCCGAGACAGGTGCAGCGGGCAGGCTTCTCCGGCCCTCTCCCACGGCGGAGAGGTGGCCGGACCCCCACACCGAGTCCCAGCGGCCAGCGGCCCCCAGCCCAGCAGACGCGCGCCGGCGGGCGCACGCACTGGCGGCGGAGGGGCGGCCCCGGGGCGCGAAGCCCCACGCCCCCGGCGCCCGCGCACCAGCGCCGGCGCTCCCGGAGCCTCACCTGGCTGCGGCCGGACAGCGAGAAGGTGGCGTGGCTGGCGAAGCGCGCGGTACCCAGGCGGGGCGCGCGGCCGGGGACACCGGGCGGAGGGCTGGGCGTGCCCCGAGTGCCGGCCGCGGAGGACGGCCCGGTCCCCAGAGCCTCCACCTGCCGCGTCAAGCGCTCGAGCTGCGCCTGCAGTCGGTGGTTATCGCGCTGCAGGTCCGCCACCGTGCGCGCCAGTGGGCCGGCCAGGCGCAGCGCCTCGGCCACGCGCCGCTCCACGCCGCGCTGCAGCCCCTGCATGTCCTCGTGCAGCGCGCGCACCGCGCCCTCCAGCGCCGCCTCGTAGCGGCCCAGCGCCTCCCGCACCGTGCGCGCCTCCTCGGCGTCGGAGCCCGGCTCCATGGCCGAGCGGAGCGCGCGGGGCGAGCGCTGGCCTGGCGGGGAGTCGTCGAGCTCCTCCGCAGCTGCCGGCCGCGACTGTCCGCCCCTGGGCCGCTCGCCGGAGGGGCGGTGGGAGGGCGGGCGGAGGGCGGGGGGCGGGGCGGGCCCGCGAGCCCCGGGACTGGGCGCCGAGCGGGGGCGGGGCCTCGGGGGCGGGCCCGGGGCGCGCGGGGCGGGGCGGGGCGGGGCGGGGGGTCTCAGAGGCGCGGATCCGGGCCCTCCTGGCGCCGCAGTCCCGGGGGGCGGGGGGGGGGCGCGCACCGGTCTGAGACCACCCCCGCTGCCGGCCCCGGAGGAGCGGCGTGCGGCCTGGGCGAGGGGCGGCCGCCCCACCGGAAGAAGGCCTCGACCCCCAAGTGGACTTTACCCTGGAGACCACAGACGCGGGTTCTGCGTTCTCTTCGGGCTCTCACCCGCAGGGCCTGGTCGCGCTGGGGGTGGGGACTCCCCCCCCTGCTCAGAGAGAGCTGAGGGCAGCAGGAGCCCCCAGAACCGCCGTCCCAACCCTCGCCCTGTCCGGGTCCCTGCCCTCTCTACGCTGCGTCAGGCTCTCCCGGGCACAGACTCACCTGGCGGAGCTCTGCCGGCCATCTCCTGCACCTGTTGTTAAGACCGGGAGCGGGAGACCCGCGGGAAGTCCCCTCCCAGCCCCACTCTGTGTGGCTCCGTCTTTGTGTCCTCCTCGCCTCTGGTCAGAAGGGGCTCCAGGCTCCCCAAGGGGCCCCTAGTGGGGGATCCTAGTAGGGGATCCAGGAGGTGCTGAGGTCTGGCAGAGAGGAAAGGGAGCACTGAGGGTGAATCTCCAGATCCCGAATGAGTGAGTTTTGGGCTAGTGGGCCCGTCTCTCCGTCAGTCTCAGTCAGGGCCTCTACCCACAGGCCAGGGTTCCCAGCACTGTTCCCTCTCAACGCTGCTTTCCTGCCTGAACCCAGACATTCCTCCCTTCCACCTCCCCCGCCGGACAAGCCTCCTGAGAGGGAAGAATGCGGACAGCTGTTGCTTCAAGAAGACCAGCTGATGACGGACAAAGATACTCCGAGTTCCCGGGTCATTGTCATCTGCTTTAAAATAAAAACGGGGCGGGGGGCGGGGCGCCTGGGGGCTCAGTGGTTCAGCCTCCGCCTTCGGCTCGGGTCATGACCTCAGGGTTCTGGGACCGAGCCCTGCGTCGGGCTCTCTGCTCCGCGGGGAACCTGCTTCCTCCACTCTCAGCCTGCCTCTCTGCCTGCTTGTGATCTCTCTCTGTCTGTCAAATAAATAAATAAATAAAATCTGTTTTAAAAAATAATAAAATAAAAATGGGAACATCCCATTCTTTTCCCAAAAACCTTTGGGAACCTTTCCTGACTAGCCTTCACCTTAGTAGGCCAGGCCCACCTGAAGGAGGCCCAGTGGCTGGGCGGGCTCAGCTTGTTGGCTCAGGAACAAGAGGTCTGAAGGGCTTGTTCCTGTCATGTCAGGCTTCCCGGACTGTGGATCAGCCTGGCAGATGCTGAGCTGAGCACAGACACCCCCCCCCCGCCCCGCTCTTGTTCCCCTCCAACATGGGGACCCAAAGGAATGCTGGGTTACCTAATCCAAGGAGCCTTCCAGCAATTATTTCATGAGAAAGTCAAGTGCCAAAAGGCGTGCATGTTGTGTGTGTGTGTGTGTGTGAGAGAGATTGAGAGAGAGAGAGAGAGAGAGATTGAAATCGAGCATGTGTTCCAAGTAGCTGTCTGCACTGGGGTGAGCCAAACCACTCCCTGCCTTCTTTCTCCGGGCAGAACCTTTGGGAGAGGCTGGGAGAGGCTGGGAGAGGCTGGGAGAGCCCTCCCCACCCCCTCCACCCCTCTGCCAGCCTTCATGACCCCTGCAGGTCTGAGCATGGGAGCCCGAGGATCAGAGACCCCCATCTCAGCCAGAAAAGCCCATTCCCTTCCCTTCCCATTCCTTCCTTTGAAGAAGCCCCTTCCCTTCTTCACCCATGGAAGAACCACATGGTGAAGTCCTAGGGGGCACTGGCGAGTGTGACCTCCTGGGCCTGGGCCCGCAGCATCCATGGGGGTGGGCGTGGGCAGGGGTCCACCCACCCTTTCCCATCTCCCACCACAGTGAATTGTCTGCTGTCCCCATCCACCAGGAGAATATTTGGGAGGAACTGCTTAGGGGCAGGGCAGGGCTCCCTCTGCCGCTGAAGTGGGGACTCCGTCAAGGGCAGAGACGGGGCTCACTGTGAGTTCTGGGAAAGCAGACAGTCCAAGAAGCAAACCGTCCCCCCTTGGCCGCTCTCCCTCCGTAGTCACACCACTGAGTCAGTAGCTGGAGATGAGCCTGGGAGAGGAGAGCTGTACCAGGAGCGGGAAGAGGGGGCCAGGGGGGCAGGGACTGAGGGAGGGCACCCTCCTGTGCCCACCAGGCTGGGACCACCCCTCCACCCTCCGCACCCCAGTCCGTGCGCACAGATGCTCGTGTACATGTGCAGCTCCGCTCCTCGGGGGGCAGGGCCTCCATCTCAGCTGTCCATCCACTCCCACACCTGGGACAGCACTGGCCTTAGAAAGTGCTCAGGAAGTCCTGGATGACTCCTAGACGCCTGGGCAAAGGAGGCTCACCAGCGAGCCCATGGGCTGCTAGGTGGCTGGACAGCAGAAGGAGGGAAGGGATGCTTGGGTACCTGGGAGGTGTGGGGATGCCATTTGCTAAGATGGGTTAGAGTGAGCAGTGAGCCCTGGGGACTCACAGAGGCCATACGCGGCCCATCTCCAAGGTCACCTCGGCCTTTGCCCTAGAGATCCCTCCATGCCCCTGTGCCAAGAAGAGCTCAGGTTGGAGTGTCATGGGCCAGGGCAGATGGGCCTGCCACACCCTCCATGGAGACCTCAGCTCATGGGGCAGGGCAGCTAACTGCCCCGGCCATCCAGCTCCATAACCAGGAAGGTGCAGGAAAGCAGCCACACCCCACACCTCGTGCCCCACAGCCACAGGTGCCAAAGGGAGCACGCTAACAAGGGCTCCAGGAGGTACACTCTAGGCCTGGGTCGATCCCCAGGCAGACATATCCCCCCACACTCCTCCTCCCAAATCCTCAATCTGCCTCGCCTCCGCCCTGGAAATGGCCGCCTTGCTGTGAGACCCGTAGGAGTGGGCACGCAGGGCGTGTATGTACCCTGCCGGGCTCAGGAGCCAAGTACAGAAGGGGTGGGGGGGGGGGGCGTGCAGGAGCCCAGCCCCAGAGCAGGCAGCCTTGGAGTCTTGTGTCTGGCCAGGACCCCAGAGAGGGGCAGGTGGGGCTCTGCCCACTGGAAACAGGACCCCTGGGGCTGGTTCTGGGGCCCTGAGGCCCCTGGGATTTCGGGGGGGGGTCCCTGGGTCATTCCACCCAAGTCTCAGACTTCATGGCTCCATCCCCAGGGGACACTCTGCAGCTGCCCACCAGCATGGCCTGTTCATCTCTTCCCGTGCACCGGAGGGCGCGTCTGTGCACCTACCCTGGGGAGTGTGTCTGCGGGGGCAGGGACATGCGGGCGTCACAGAGTCTGTGGTGCTCCACGCTGTGAGGAGGGCACGTGGACGCGTTTGGAGGAGGGACCTTCATGCACGTGCTTGCAGGGGCCGAGAGTGCCTTCAACACACGCGTGTGCATCCGGGACATGTGCTGACACGAACCCTGGGACGCGTCCTGTGATGCCAATACCACACAGGGGTGCGTGCAAGCCCGTCACGCACTGCCCAAGCGGCCCCACACCCGACACGCGTGTCCCCATGTCCGCTGTATCCTACGCTCTTGCTTCCTTCCTGTCCCTTTTCTCTCCACCTCCGTCCGGTCCCTGGACCGTACACCCCATCCAGCTCCGGTCATTCACTCCTGCGGCCGAGTGGCTGGTGGAGCTGGTGGGAACAGACGCCGCAGAAGGTGCAGATCCCGGGTGCCGTGGGCTGCTCTGCTCTGCTGCGCAGAAGACGCCAAGGACGGCCCTGGCTTGAGGACGTGGTGGTACGGGTCAGGGCAGGGTGGGCCTCTGGGTCCCGGTGGGGGAGGAACTTCCCACGGACCTCTGCTGGGGCTCAGGCTAGCCAGAGAAAAAAATAACACCCACCCCGGCCTGAGCGGCTGAGGTCCTCGCGCTGACCCAGGGGTTCTGCAGGGTGTGGACTGGAGACAGCTGCTTCCAGCCCAGATAAGGCCGTCGGGCTCACATTTTCCATTTCCAGGAGCCCCAGCCCCTGAGCCCCAGCCCCTAAGCCCCGGCCCCATGGCCTGGGGAGGTCTGCACGGGCTCACCCTGGGAACGGCAGCCCCAAGAGGGGACACCGAGGTCTGGGAAGAGCCACAGCTTGTCCCAGGCCCCTGGGCTCTGGGGTTAAGATCTTAGGGGCAGGACAGCTCAGAGCCCTCACAGCTCACATCCTCCAGAAACCAGCCGAGGTGGGAGGAAGGAGAACTGCCCCCCCTCCCCACGGTCCTGCCCCTGCTCCCACCAGGGAGGACCCCCTCACCCAGGGGCCAGCAGTTGTCCTTGGGGGCAGATCTGGGCCTCAGGCTCTGGGCTCCCTCTGCCTTCTCCCTGCCCTTCCCTCCCCTTCCCCCCAAAGGCCTGGCCCCTCCAGCCCTGCCTGGACTGCTCCCCTCCCCCTTCCTGGACTATTTATAGAGCCTGGCTCAGTGGCCTCCAGGGCGAGAAGAGCCAGAGGTCCAGGGCTACGGCTCACCGGCTCCTGGGGCCTTCCCCAGGGGCCCCCCCGCAGGCTGGGCAGTGTCTCCTTTCAGCCCAGCAAAAGGCCACTAGCTCCGAGTGAGCGGTAGGGGTGGGGAGGTCAGGCCTCGCTGGTGGGGGAGGGGGCCTACTGGAGCCTCCTGTAGCCATAGCCACTCAGGCTTTGCTCAGGAGCTTGCTGGAGATAGCTGGGGCTGCCGTGTCCATGGGAGGCCCCAGGGCCCACCAGCACCTTCTCACACCTCCCCTGGAAGCCCCAGAGGC